AAATATTCTTAAATGTCTATAATTGATAACAGAAGCCATTGGTTTATACCAACGGCTTTCCCATACTTAATACTTCTCCTTTTGAATACTTCGCGTGGTCATGTGTGACGTCACAACCTGCGACGCGATTTTCGCTTCCGCCTCTCGTATACACGAGTTAGTCGCTGCTTTGAAATTTTTCATTATTGTTTTTTCGGTGTATTGGTTGATATATTGAAAAGTAATTGACATCTCTGATAATGGCTTATGTAAGCCGAAAGCGTAGATTGGATTTAAACATGTATCGATATGGTGATTTCCTTTCGTCTTTCATTGATAATGTTATTAAGCTTATCAGACAATATGAAAGGAACTTACTTAAAATAGATAGACAAAACCTGTCTATATTATTTAATTAAACATACATTAATATATATATATATATATGTGTGTGTGTGTGTGTGTGTGTGTGTGTGTGTGTGTGTGTGTGTGTGTGTGTGTGTGTGTGTGTAAGAGGCATGATGGTATAATTGGATTGAAGAATCGGTGAGCCGAGTTCAAATTCCAGTAGAATCCATTGCATTCCCTTACGTGATAAGACTCTTAGGAAAGGTACGAATACTCTTCTTCTCCCTCCCACATTAGCTAAGGATAAATAGCATGACAGAGTGGGTTCTATAGCCTTGGATGGCAACTTTTCTAGGAAAATGACAACTCTGAATTCAAAACCTGCGGAGGGTCGTTTGGGAACCTTGTGTCGGACGAGAACCAGGTCTCTGTATTCGACTCCTCAAAAAGTGTGGTTGCTTCTACATAAAGCCTTCATCACTATAATCAAATGATTTGTGCTCGTGGTCTGGTTGTAAGCTTCTAGGAACTGAGTTGCTTGACCTTCATACGTCAAAATCGACGAGAGAGTCCAGTAGTATACCGGATGTAACATCAAAATTGTCCAAATCGTGTAACAGCAAAATTGTTACATTAAGTTCTAAACCGTTATATCTTAGAAATGATTAAAGATATATTAATGGAATTCTCCGATGTTTTTATAACACTATTGGACTCTACTCTGAGCAATAAGAATGTACTCTAAGATTAACAAAAGTACCCCGATGAAATCGACCATGAACGAAAATGACATGTTCATTTTTATTAATCATAGATAAAGTTTGGAAGCTCATGAAGTATTGAAATAATGTTCATATATATATATATATATATATATATAATATATATATATATATATATATACTATATATATATATATATATATATATATATATATATATATATATATATATATATATATATTATTTCAGAGTCAGTTTCAACTTATTCAACATAATTTTCGCCCACTCTAGCCTAACTTCCTGTTCTGGAGTAATACAGTGCCTCTTAGATTTCACGCACGATTTCATTTTCAAGTTCTGTCACTGTTCTTTGCACTGTCATATCTGAAACTCCTCTCTCACATACCAAACGTCATATGAATTGAGTTGAATCTTTTCTAATTGATCTCCTTAGCTGTGAGTTGAAATGATGATCCCTCTTCCTGTTGTGACCTTCTGGTCCTGTTTTCCTCTCTAATGTTTCTTCTTTTTTAAACTTATTTATCGTTGTCTTGACGATTCTTGAATGGACTTTGAAGATAGAAGCAATAGTCTGAATGCTGGTACCATTACTGAAGGCCTGAATAATCTTTTTCCTCCCACCATTGCTCAATTGGAAAGACAGTGGGTATGATACAAAACAATTTTAAACTTCTCTATTTTAGTTGAATAACTCAAATGTTTTTTCCGTGGTTCTTAAAGTACTTGAGAAATAGTGTCAAGATGGCTATCAAAACCTGGAAAAAAGAAGAAACTCAATTAGTTTAGTAGATTTTTTAGTAATTAAACATTTATTGAGATGGATAATTATGCGGTAACACGATTTGGACAATTTTGCTTTTACACCCGGTATATATATATATATATATATATATATATATATATATATATATATATATATATATAAACAGACAGACAGACAGACAGACAGACAGAGGCTAATACAAGGCTCATCATTCGCTAATTCACACTTTCTTTTTTTATTTATTTCATCTTCGTTTTCTTTCTTTCTTTCTTTGTCTTTCACTTTTTGTTTCTTTTCTTTCTTTCTTTGTCTTTCACTTTTTGTTTCTTTTCTTTCTTTCTTTGTCTTTCACTTTTGTTTCTTTTCTTTCTTTGTCTTTCACTTTTTGTTTCTTTTCTTTCTTTCTTTGTCTTTCACTTTTTGTTTCTTTTCTTTCTTTCTTTGTCTTTCACTTTTTGTTTCTTTTCTTTCTTTGTCTTTCACTTTTTGTTTCTTTTCTTTCTTTCTTTGTCTTTCACTTTTTGTTTCTTTTTTTTTCTTTGTCTTTCACTTTTTGTTTCTTTTCTTTCTTTAACATTTTCTCCCGTACTATATATTTTTCTATCTTTCACTCTAGTCTTCGCTTCCTTCTCTTTCTTTCTGCTTTCTTTCTTTCTTTCTTTCTTTCTTCTTTCTCTCTTTCATTTATACCGATCTTATCACATCGTACTAAGTCGAACCAAATTCATCGCAGCACGATAAAATGTTACTTTTTACTTTTTCTGGACGGCATCAGCAAATTTTATAATAGTTCTATTTTTTCTTTAGCGTTTGTTGTGGCTTTTTATGTTAATCTCCAGTATGGCCAAAATATTAGAATCGAAGGAGTTGAACAAAAATGACTGGCTTAGTTTGACTGCTGATCTTCTGAGAAATATTGCACCAGCAGTGAATACACCATAAACATTGTCTTTTTGTTATGTCTCCTAAACCCTGTGCACTTGGAAGTGTTGTTATCGTTATCAGGCTTGTCGCGCTAGCTCAATTACGATTGAGTAGTGAGTTCGATCCCCATTGAGTTCTTCATACTTTCGACCTTGTGCCACTTCTAAGCTACGCTTCAAAAAGAGCATAATGAGGAAAAAAATGACTTGAAAATGACTTGAAAAACTTGATACTTACGGAACAAAATTGAAAGTAAGAGAAACAAAGGAAAACAGTCTAGAGAGCTTGAGTAAATGGATGGCGGGAACAGGATTAAGTACAGATAAGAAAAAGTCATAATGTATTAAATGCTACAGAAGGGAAAGGAAATGTGGAGAGCCATGATCGTTAATCGGATCACATAATAATAAAGCAATGATTTTCAGAAACCACCATCATCTGAAAGAAATTTTCTTACCTATCCTAAAAAATGTTGTCAATTTGAACATACCAAACCTGCAGTTTGGGGCCAGTGGCATCCACATTATTCGGTCCCTGTCGAGAAACAAGATGACAACTAGTGATTAGCATTAATCCATAACAGAAATAAACTCAACAATATGAAATGTTGCAATGAAAGTAAGAGATACAGACAATTCATTTTTGCCTTGAGGGAAATTATTTCTGCTGTGGATTGTCGATTCTAATCTTGAAGTTGAGGCTAATAATGTAAAATATATCAGTTTCCAGAAAGAAGTCTAAAAGTTGGACAGTATCAAGAACTCTCAACATAACTTTCAAGCGCCAAGCCATTGTGTTTTTGGACAAGAATATTATATTGTGGAAACCAAGAATTTATCGAATGAGAACAATTATTCCAAGTATGCAGACAACCAGTTCCAAAGAATGTAAACGCTAATGCGGTAGGTGATGCAAGAATTCACGTCAAGCGAATATTTTGCCATCATCATTTTAAGACTCTGATAGAAATATTAGAGAGAGTTATAATGATGCCATGGCAATGGTTAGAAAAATTTGGTTAACCGGAATTATTTAGCAATCTGCCATGAAGTGGAGAAAAGAATAAGCTCAATCCAGGAAAATACACTTCAGACAGACTCAATATTAAGGAAAGAGTATTTAATTTATAACGTTACCGAAGAACATCTTAAAGATAAATATATTTGGTAATATTCTTGCACAGTTTTATCGAATTTCAGAAGTATTCATTAGATTGATTCTTTTTCTACGGTTTATCAACCCTTTGCAGGTTATTTAAAGCCATAAAATATCATATATTAGATTGTAAGAATTTTTTAAATAATAAGGATTTAGCGTTATACGTCTTACTAATTAACCCATAGCTGGGGGAGAAGAGGTGGATTCATACGTTTCCAAAGGCAAGGCCAGTGCGTATTACCTCCGAACACCCCCAGCGGAGGGGCAAAACTGATTGGGGCTCCGGGCAGTACTTTGTGACGCTCGCTATCTTATCAACATATGTTTTTTTTTTCTATCTACATTTATATACAGCTATTAAAGGATAAAAAAAATTTCGCGGATTTTGACGTCATTCTGAGTCTTTTTTTGTCTAAAAAACACCCGCTAAAATTCACTACTTTTATCCATACTATTGAATGTGTTTTAATCTTTTCACTTTTTAACAAGAAAAATCTCAAGATGATGTTAAAAAATGCCGCAAAGCATTCTTAATTTATTTAAAATGGAATGATCTATAATGACACGTCTTTAATTTTAGTCTAATTTGTATTTACATACATTGTATCTATTTTCAATTTTTCTAGTTGAATTTTTCACCTATATTGAAGATGATGCTTTGTTGTACATAATTAGGTTACAATAAAATTTATTTCCATTGTTTGGTCTGTGGTCCTCATCTTTTTAGCCATATTCACGACGTTTCGGACGTTGTACGATCCGGCCTTCTTCAGTTGATTAGAATTTTGAACTGAACAATTTATTTCCTCCACCTCAATTTTCCTAGTTGAATTGTACACCCATATTGCATATGATCCATTATTGTACATAATTAAGTTACAATAAAATGTGTATTTTATATGAATGCAACTTTATGAAAATTGAGATGTACTAGAATAGTGGGGGCGTATCATAGATTCGTGGGGATACAAGACCCTTGCACCGGCCCTACCCAATTAAATATGACGAACCCAACTGGAATTGGAACTCGGCTCTCCGATTAACAATTCCGAGCCATTATCCATTACACCACCCGTACATCGAAGCTTACAACTCCTGGTACTCCCTATCAGTTACCCATCTAGGTGCTGACCAACCTCGACGTTGCTTAACTTCGGTGATCGTACGGGAACTGATGTTTCAACATGATAGGGAGGAGTAAGGATTGACACATGAAAAATCAGATGAAACCGACAAAGAAGCTTATTGCGCATTATTATAAACGTTTAGTGGAAAAATTCTATTTAACGTATTCCGTCCCCTAAAAGGACTTCATCAGAATAAAGTAATCTAATTGCTGCATGCATGCTTGGAATAGTTTGACACACTCTAAAAATTCTTGGTTTACACCATGCAATATGCTTGTGCCAAAAATAGAATGACATGCAACCGATGTATAGTGCAGGATTGGCGCTTGACTACCATGTTGGTTCACGAGAAACCACTCTGAGTGTTCTTCACACTGCTCAAATTTGTTTTTACGGCTTATCAACCTTTCGTGGGTTATTTAATATATTTTGGATTCCATTTCTTTTTTGTTTTCGAATGAACATTTTAATAACAATGATTTTTCCATATACAAGCCCTACTATTTAACCCATAGCTGAGGGAAGAAATTCTTACCTTTCCCAGGAGTTCTTGCGCGTAGGTTAACGTAACTCGACTGGACAAAAGTAATGTTCTTATTTATGGAATTCTATATATGTACGTTGGTTGTAATGATGTACTGAGGGCAAACGCTTGAAGTGTATCAAAGCTAAATTTAAAATTTAAAATGTCTGTCCAAGGAAATCTGTGAGAATTTTCATGTGCATTTCTAGTATTTATTCTAAACAAATAAACGGCAAATTCTGTTTGTTTGTCCATGTGTCTGAACCCCACGTCTAACTCGGGTCACACTTGCTCTACATAGACTCATTATATCTTTTTAGAATCAGGACGATTCCAGGATTAAAAATCTGCCCTTCATCTGCTCTATAAACATCCAGAGGTTATGTGACGGGAGGTTTTAATGTTCCCATATTTTGTGATTTGAAGAACTCAACTCAATTGAATTTCCATGGAGTTTATATTTTGAAGAACTCAACTTTCGGCCTGAATTGGAATTTCGGCCGATAGCAGACTTTCGGCCCAAATTGGTCTTTTGGCAGAAATTGGACTTATAGCCTAAATCAGAGTCAAAGTGAGTTTTTGAAGTTCCATGTAGTGAACTGAAGAATTCAAAGTCATTTCTTCAAAATTATTATTGCTGTTTTCTAAGCTGGACCACAGGTTCCTTTAGTTTGGGCCCAATTCGTCCTCTGCATGACCTAACTTAAAAGTCCGTACTTTTAAGATAGTTACCAAAAAAAAAGATTGTCATTGCCAGAACTACTATGATGCTTTTTCACGTAGTCGTCATCGAAACTGATTTACTTGTTCTTTCGGGTACAAGCACATAAATATCCTTGATGTGGGAGGCATCAAACGATTGGAACCACCCTTGTACGTTTGCAACAACAGCGTCCTTTGTGTTCAACAGCTTTCAGGGTAAGTTTCATTTTAGCGAGTCGAAGCAAGACAGATGTAAAGAGGCGCGGTAAAACACCCCAATCATATCACTGGAGCCATATATCCGTCAGGTTGACGTTTGTAGCGTTGTCGGGCATCAGGATGACATCCTTATGCTAACATCCAAGTCTTTTCCGACGAACGGCTACCCACAGTCTACCGTGTGCATCATAATACCGGACTGCGTTAAATGTATGACCATTAATTATGAAGTCCACAAGCAGCATACTTTTTATATCCCAAGACACAGCTGCCAATAATTTCTTCGTTGAAATTTTTGTCCAATGGTCAGAATACAGCGGCCTCTCTTTTGGGGGGTTGGACGGGCCCTAATGTTTAGTTTACTTTGTGTTCATGTTTAGTTTATTATTGGGTTCATCTCCCTTCTCTCTCATTCTTCATCTTTAGAATATTTATATGTAATTATTTATTATCATTAAATTTTTATGGATGGGTCGCGTTTTGTAGGTTCCCCTTGAGAAGATGTGGTATTATGGTGTATGGAGGATTGAACGGTGACGGACGAGTTTTTGTGCTAAATAGGCAAATTTTAACGAGCGAATGGGTCGTGAATCGGATTAGCTAGGTATAAGATAGTTACTGATGACCAGCCTCAACCCCTCCTTTAATCGGCTTTGTGCTGTAATTGTATTTTATGTACAATAAATAACAATTTCTTCGCTGAATTATTAATTTTTTGATGTGGATGATGATGGATGGAGCATGGGGGCCATATCACGTGGAAACATCGGTTCTTGTACGATTATCGAAGGTAAGCAACGTTGAGTCTGTTTAGTACCTAGATGGGTGACCGTTTGAGAATACCAGGTGCTGCAAACGTGGATGTGTGGTGTAATGAATAATTAATTAGAAAGGGAAATCGGAGAGTCGGGTTTCAGTTCCAGTCGGATTCGTTATATTCGTTTACATGCAGATCCTCTTTGGAAAGGTATGGATCCGCCTCTTTCCCTCAGCTATGGGTTAATTAACAGGACTTGTATCAGTAAATAATTATTATCTCCAGAAAATTCTTACAAGATAAAAATTGGGTGGGGGGGCTTTTGGGGATATTTTGCCCTTGATATGCAAGTCTTATTACACCCTAAATCTCCGTGTGTATTTATTGTTCTGTGGCGGAAGTCATCTTTGTTGTTGTTATACCGGAACATTACCTATTCTATTGTAATAGACTCTCCCACACATAATAAGTAGTAGTAGTAGTAGCGGTCGCCAGTTGGGCTCAGTGGAGTTGAGTGAGTCAGTCGATGTCGGACATTGAAGTATCAACCACCACAACTAGATTGCTGCGTCATTAACTGTTATTTCAAGTTCCTAACGTTTTGTACGTCGGACCCTTTTAGGACCGACTTAGCGAAATACAAGCCTTCACTGTGAAAACTACCCTACAACAGTTGTGACGTCACATACGCATGCGCTCAATATTTAAGCTGTTCTGGCTGTTACAAGGAATATTGCATACTCCCCTGTTGTCTTCTACTTACCGTTATTGTAATGCCATTTGATTTGTACCTTACGATGTGTACCTTTCTCTTCGAACTTCCTTCGTAGATATTTATGTCTGCTTATGTTCAAGTGTGCTTGTGGCTGTATAAATGAATGAGTAAATAAATGGGTTTGCAAAAATTAATGGATTTTATTTTCAATCAGACTTTATTTGTTATTACTTTAAGCGTTAAATTGTACTGGATGCATGTGTTTGAGTGTATGTCCGGGTTTTTTGTTGTTTTTTTTTTTGTTTGTTTGTTTGTTTGTTTTTTTTTTTAACAGTGAGAAATACTCTGCAATGCACAGACCGGTATATGCCATTTACACATTTATAAAAACAGGGTGTCTATTCAAATAGGTATAGCCATTAGAATATAGCATTTAAAAGTAAATTATATATATATATATATATATATATATATATATATATATATAATAGATATTGTATATGTATATATATATAAAATCTATTTTCGCGTATTTTAATGAATATATATGTGCATGTACATTCATGTATGCAAATATGTATTTGTACTGTGTGTGTGCTCTGTGTGTGTGCTCTGTGTGTGTGCTCTGTGAGTGCTTGTGTGCGCACGCCCGTTAGTCTCAAATAATGTAAATTTCCCTGGTTTATTTACGTCCGATTTTATCGAACTCGAGGCCCGCGCTAGATGCTAAGTCCTCGCTTGTCTGTAAGTAGACGAGCAAGGTTACGTCGCGTTGCTCGGCTTAATACGGCTTGCCAAGAAATAGCTAACGTCACTTTCGCCTTGCTGCCGCCGTCTACTAAGCAAAAGTAACTCACACGATCCAATGAACGATTTGCGCGTAATGAAACTACGATGCAATATTACGAGAGCGAAAAATGTAATTGCCAAACAAAAGAAGAGAAAAATAAGAAATAAAATTTATTTAATCGGTTTGCTTACTAGAATTAAATCAATTTCAAGTGTCGAAATTGATTATTAAAGCACACTGCATTGCGCCTCTAAGCATATAAATATATTTGCAATTAAAATTTCACGCTAACAACACATGCTTTTAAAACCTAATTGGCACTGTATCTATCTATCTATCTATCTATCTATCTATCTATATTTCTCATGTTGTCTGTCTGTGTGTCTGTCGTGGGAGTTGTTACCTCACCCAGGCCGCATTTCTCACCCGATTTCGATGCGGTTTTCAACACAAGTTTGCAAATGGCTGCCGTAAGGACATGATTTTTGAGTTCGGAATCATGTTCCGAAAAAAACGATAATCGAAAAAATCGATAATCGAAAAAATTTTGCTTACAGAAGGAATGATCGCATTTCAACCAAATTTGACACCCTCTTAGAGTCTACCATTAGAAGTGTTGTCCAGAAGTTTCATGACCACGGACCCCTAAACAGCGCGGAAAATCGATAAAACCCCAAAACCGATACGCCCAGATTGCGTCTGAACCGCATGTCGGTTTTTAGCGAAAACCAAGCGGATTTATGAAGAGGCCATTGGGAGTCACCATGTGAAGTTTCAACTCTGAGCACCCCCCCAAACAGAGTGCAAATCGACAATCGGTCAACCCTTAAAAATCTTTTTTTCGGTTTTTTAAAGCTGATCGTATTGTGTTTATTTTGTTTAGTTCTTTTTTCGTAACAGATTTAATGTTTACTATAGAGCTTAGAAAAAAAAGTTGGCAGTGTGATATAGGCAAGAAGTAAGGCATGTAACAACATCAGCACGGCAAAGGGCACTCCTCTAAAAGGCAAGGAAGGGCAAAAATATTTTAAGTCAAGTGATAACGATTGCTGTATTAGTCGTACTATTTTTGAATCAAGCACGGGCAACGCCGGGCCATGCTGCTAGTAGTTTATATAGCTAATTTTGTAAATGCTTCAAGATACATTAACAACTATTCAAATATATATATATATATATATATATATATTTAGTTTATTCAAATTTAGGTAATCCGTATGGATAGACCTGAGGAGGATGATATCCAGAGGCTCAATGCAAGATTCAGAGCATATATGTTTGAATAAAAACCAGACCACGTTAAGATTCCATGTAATAAGCTATTTCACCATAACCCCTTTAACAGGGTTCTGGATCATCAGACTTTACTTCCAAAAGCTGAAATGAAAAATGAAAAGAAAATTCACAGGTTTTTTACGGACCTCATCAAGTATACGCAAAGTTAACGAAGTGAGGAAGTGAGGTGGGAGAGAGGATGTGAGTGTGTCATATGTATCATTTTAGTTTTCTATTTTAACCCCAGTGTATCGGCTGGATGTTGCTCTAATCTAACGCGTCTCGTCTCTAGATAAAGATGGTTAAGGGGTGGGCGATAAAGGCTACATTGAGGAAGACGCGTTATAACAGCCCCAATAAATTATCCGACAGGTTTCATTCAAATTCCTAGACGCTGTCAGTTCGCGTTACTTTAACGTGAGGTCCGTAAAAAACCTGTGAATTTTCTTTTCATTCTTCATTTCAGCTTTTGGAAGTAAAGTCTGATGATCCAGAACCCTGTTAAAGGGGTTATGGTGAAATAACTTATTACATGGAATCTTAACGTGGTCTGTCTTTTATTCAAACAATATATATATATATATATATATATATATATATATATATATATATATATATGCACGTATTTTGCATATACTTTTCAGATATATAATTTATATATATATATATATATATATATATATATATATATATATACCCGACTCTCCCGTCGAATTCGACGTATGAGGGTCAAGCAGATCAGTTCCTAGGAAACCGTCAGCCCGACAACAGCACATGAGATTTGATTATAGTGGTGAAGGCTTCGTGCAGGACCATCCACACTTTTGGAAGGTCCGAATACAGAGACCTGGTGCACTACATGCCACAAGGTTCCCAAACGACCCTCCGCAGGTTTTGAATTCAGAGTTGTCCTTCTCCTAGACCAGTTGCCATCCAAGGCTATAGAACCAAGTCTGTCCTGCTATTTACCCATAGCTGGAGGGAGAAGAAGAGGATTCACAACTTTCTCATGGGTATTAGCACGTAAATGAATGTAGTGGATTCGACTGGAAATCATCAATCCAAGCCGCTATCCATTACTCCACCGTTATACATAGTTTAATTTAAGTATATATATATATATATTATAAATTAACTGATTTAAAAATATGGTTTTTATCGCTACACAGGAAAAACCATGTTTCAAAAACAGAAACTAAAAACTTCAAATTCAATTATATTAAATTAAAAGCATTCGTTCTATTTCATTTTCAAGCGAATTTTGCTTCCAAAATTCGTTTGAAAATGAAACATATATGTGGTGCGATGGGTAAATTGCCGCCATGTTATATTTTTTTCATTTCATGCATGCTGGTTTTTATTTTGATTTCGGCAACTGCACATTATAGTAGGGTCAGTTGAGCACTGTCTGTGAGAAAAAAAGGATAATGACGAAATTCACTCCGTCAGAAATTTGGAAACGGTATGCTGTAATGCATTCACACCGGAAGCTCCAATACGAATTTGTCCTGGGTATGAAGATAAACTACATCTGCGTCCTGGGTATGAAGATAAACTACATCCGCGTCCTGGGTAAGACGAAAAACTATGTCCAACTGCAATACCTCTGATCAGGAGGTTTTGAGGAGCGTGAAACCACCTCTTTATTGCTAGTGTTCCCAGGTCCACCCTGACCCGGAGTGGTAGTACCTGTTAGGGTCCCAGCTATGAGCAAATAGTTAACCCCGAAACTGGGGTAAAAACATTATGAAAGTGTAAAAATAGGTTTTAATTCCAGAAATACTTTGTAAAAAATTTTTCCAGCAATAAATTTTTGAAGAAAAAAAATATTACCAGCAATATATTTCTGAAAATAATATTACCAACAATATATTTTTGAGGAAAAAATATTACCAGCAATAGTTTTTTTTTAAAATTATTACCAGCAACATATTTTTGAAAAAAAAATATTACCAGAAATAGATTTTTGACAAAACAAAATACTACCAGCGATAAAAAATTTTGTCGGCATTAAATAACCCATTGAGGTCGATATGCCGTAAAACAAACCAAAGCAAACCAATACAATACAAACAATTTTGGGGTGTCAATATGAGGACAATGTAGAGGATTCGGAAAGAGTTGGATGAGTCTAATGGTGATTACCAAGGTACGGCAGCTCGTAAAATTTGTTCTGATCATTCTGATTAGAAAAGAATTACCGAATTTGTTGGTGAGATCCAGGCTATGATTAGTGTATAGTAAAATTACGAATATAAAATTAAAGTTACTCAAAAATGCATTAGCCTATGTATCACTGTTTCTCACAGAACCCCTAT